AACATTTTTAGAATATTTCCCAATTAAGGTCCAAAATCGACCACCTTTGGTTAGTTTACAAGGTTGACGTCAATGGAGAAAATATTCAACTCAAAATTTCCTTATTAGTCTCTGAAGATCACAAATCGGTAGACCTAATATATATCATTCAAATGTAATCTTCTATGTGGGAAGAAAAATTAAAAAAAAAGTTTCAGAGCATTTTTAGATTATTTCCCAATTGAGGCCCAAAATCGACCAATTTTTGTGGGCTTAGAAGGTTCACACCAATGAAGAAAATATTCTACTGAAAATTTCACTACAAATCCCTGAAGACTCGAAATATGTACGAAGGATATGTGTCCTTCAAATTTCAACATCACCTTGGGTAGAAATTTAAATAATTATTTGTAGGTCATTTCTACATATTTTTCAATTGGAACCAAATTCGACCATTTCTACGAAGTTTAGCGGTTTAATGCCAATGGATTACATATTTTACATCAAATTTCACTATCAGTCTCAGAACATAATACATGAGTAGGAACATCAGAACATAATACATGGGTAGGAAATATATATAAGCTTCAAAAATTATGTTCAATGTGGGTACAAAATAACCATTTTTTGGCAATTTTCCAATCCGAGCCAAAATCGACCATAAAAGTTGAGTTTTGGAGGTTGATGTCAATGGTGAAAATATTCTGCATAAAATTCCACTATGAGTCTCAGAATACAAAAAATCGGTAGTAATTATATATAACCTTCAAAAATGATCATAAATGTTGGTACAAAAGTGAAATCACTACTTTTGGGTCATTTTCTCAATTCAGTCGGAAATCGACAATTTTTACTAGGTTTAGGAGGTTGATGTCAATGGAAGAAATATTTTACATTAAATTCCACTATGGGTCCCAGAACACAAGATATCTTTTGAATTTATATGTAACCTTCAAAAATTATCTTCAATGTGGGTACAAAAATGAAATCACTATTTTTGGGTCATTTTCCCAATTCCAGTGGAAATCGACCATTTTTACTAGGTTTGAGGTTGATGTCAATGGAAAAAATATTCTACATTAAATTTCACTATAGGTCTCAAAACACAAGAAATCTGTTGAACTTAAATATAACCATCAAAAATTATCTTCAATAGGTTACACAACCAAAAGAGCTTTTATAGGGTAATTTTCCGAATTCGAACCAAAATCGAACATTTTTAACAGGTTTATGGGGTTAATGTCAATGGAAAAAATGTTCTACATAAAATTCCACTATGGGTCCCCGAACACAAAAAACCTGTTGAATTTATATATAACCTTCAAAATTATCTTAAATATGGGTACAAAGGTGAAATTACTATTTCCTCTGGAATTGGGAAAATTCCAGCGGAAATCGACCATTTTTACTGTGTTTAGGAGGTTGATGTCAATGGAAAAAATATTCTACACTATAGGCCTCAGAACACAAGAAATAGGTCAGAATTATATATAACCTCAAAATTGTATTTTCAATATGGGAAGAAAAATCAAAAAATATATTTTGGTCTAATTTGATTAATTTTTCGTAATGAGACCAAATTGGCCATAATTTTCAATTTTTGAGTGGTGGTATCAATGGAAAAAATATTCGACATAAAATTTCACTATAAGTCTCAGAACACAAGAAATCGATCAGAATTATATTGTAAATTGTGAAATTGTAATTTCAATATCGAAAAAGGAAAAAAAAAAATTTGTTGGTCTAATTTGGGTAATTTTTCGTAATGAGACCAATTTTACCATAATTATCAATTTTGAGGGTTTTTATCAATGGAGAAAATATTCTGCATAAAATTCCACTATAGGTCCCAGAACACAAGAAATCGGTCAGAATTATATATAACCTTAAAATTAAATTTTTAATATGGGAAGAAAAATCAAAAAAATTTTTTTGGTCTAATTTGGTGATTTTTTCTTATTGAGCCTAATTCGATAATAATTTTCAATTTTTGAATGGTGGTATCAATGGAGATAATATTCTACATTCAATTTCACTATAAGACTCAGAACACAAGAAATCGGTCAGAATTATATATAACCTTAAAATTGTATTTTCAAAATGGGAAGAAATAATTTTTTTTTTATTTTTAATATGGGAAGAAAAACCAAAAAATTGCTGTTGGTCTAATTTGAGTATTTTTTCGTATTGAGACCAATTGGACCATAATTTTTAAATTTGTGTTGTTTGGGATCCATGGAGAAAATATTATCACAAAATTTCACTATAACTCACTGAACATGAAAATTGCATGGTAGTTATATATAGCCTTCAAAATGTATCTTCAATATGGAGCTTCACCCAATTGTAGTCAAAGATTGCCTTGCATACCAAAATGTGTTCCTTTTTTTAAATTTTAAATTTATTATTTCAAATTTATTTTTAATATTTTAATCGAGTACCGCATATTTTTTATTTTTCTCATTTAAAATTAAATTATCTGTAATTCATATCCATTACCTGTTTCGTGTGAAAAAACACATATGCTCAAGGTAACTCCATCCTATTGATTTATTTCAATTAATTCGAAATGCTTGAACTTTTTTGTATTGAAATTAGAGAAATCAAATAAATCTTCATTGTATCCCCCCAAAAAAGAGAAGATCAATCATTTTTTTGATCAAATTGACAGCCCTAAGAAATTTCCATTTGCTATCAATAAATCATAAAATCATTCGATTCGATTCTAAAGTGTCATCTTTTCGAACAATTAATAACGGGGTTTAAATTTAAATAATTTCAACGCCTTTCATAAATGGACGTGGTGTTTTTTTATTTCACAGTTCACACACAGTAATAAAATGCATTTACCGTAAGAATAATAATAATAATAAAAAATAATAACAGCAACAACAAAGAATAGAAAATTATGAATATGAAATTGCCCCTGCTGGACATATAACCGAACCGAAGAAAAATATTTTTTTATATGATTGACAGTTTAACGCTTGGCTAAGATTTCTTCTTCTATTCTTCTGCATGTGGTCATAAGTGATTATGATGGGTGATCCATGGCCATCACCGATGTTTAATGGTTGAAAGAGTATTCGTGTTTCTTCCCCCCATTTTTTTTTGCTGGGATTGAAAATATCGAACCTCTGCATGAATTTGGGGAGATTCAACTTCGGCTGCCTCATAATTACACATTAAAACCATGTTTTGTTAGGTGGCCTGGAAAATAGTAGTTATGTGTACAACATCTACAACATCAACGATGACGTTAAGGTATGTAAACAATTTTTTTTTATTGTTGTTGCTGTTGTCTTGTCTTGTATCTATTGTTTGGAATGTGTTTTTCTCAGTGTCTTGGTTCGGACGTTGTAAACGGGGTATGGTTTGGTTAGTTAAAGTTTTTTTTACGATGCCATGCTCATTGGTTTCGATCAATGATCAATGTCAATGTTGTGACCTTTACGTTAAATAACATCGCATGAGTTGCAATACCCTGCATAGCTGCACTGCCCTGGCATCCATGGTGAAGGAGAAGAAGAAAAAACTGAAGCTTTAATAAAAAAAAACAGAAACGAAGATGCTGCTATTTCATAGCTAAGAAGACAATCGGAGGATGGTATGGCTGCATTTTTTGGTAGGCTTGGTTAGACGAGGGTTGGTCAAAAAGTATAAGGAATGTGGAATTTTATCCTCAATGTGATAAATGTTATATAAGAATACGATTTCAATTCTAAATTTAATTATTAAGGTATTATTTGGCATACATGTTTGCATTTGGGACCAAAAATCGGGTATAAATAATGGGTTTAGGGGACTGGTACCAATGGAAGAAATAATCTCTATAAAATTCCACTAAAGGCTACTGAATACAAAATATAGGTCGGATTTATACAAATCCTTACAATTTTAATCCCAATGTAGATAAAAAATATTATAATTATTTCGGGGCCAATTTTGCTACATTTTTGTTTCGAAGCCCAAATCTACCTTAATTTCCCATTTTTGGGGACTCATATCAATGGAGAAAATATTCTACATCAAATTCCACTATAGTTCGTCGAACACATAAAATCGATCAGAATCATATATACCCTTCAAATATTGTATTCAACATGGAAGAAAAATAAAAATATTTTTTTTCACTATAAATCTTAGAACACAGGAAATCGATCGGAGTTATATATAGCCTTCAAATTGTATATTTAATATGGGAGAAAATAAAAATAATTATTTTTGGGTCATTTTTACAATCCTTCCCAATTGGAGCTGAAATTCAAACATTACTTTTGAGTTTAGAGGCTTGATGCCAATGAAAAAATTATTCTACATAATATTCTATGTGAAGTATCTGGACACAAAAAATCGGTAGCTATAACACATATCCTTCAAATTCTAATACAAAAAAATTATACCTATTTTGGCCCAATTTTGCCATATTTTCTTAGCGAAGCCAAATTCGACCATAATGAATAATTTTTGAGTATCGATATCAATGAAGAAAATGATCTCCATAAAATTTCACTATATGTCTTAGAATACGGAAAATCGATCGAAGTTATATATAAGCTACAAATCGAGGCTTCAGTATGAATAGAAAGTAGAGATTATCATTTTTGGGTTATTTTACTAATATGGCCCAAATCGGCCATTATTGTTGAGTTTAGGGGGTTGGTATCAAGGGAGGGAATATTCTACATCCAATTCCACTATAAGTCTCGGAACAGGAGAAATCGGTAGGAATTATATACAGCCCTCAAATATTACATGCAATATGGGAGGTAAAGAAAATAATAATTTTTTGGGTTCAGTTTTGAGTTTTGCCCAATTGGAGCCAAAAATCGACCCTAAGTTTCAATTATTGAGGGTCGGCATCAATGAAGAAAATTGTCTACATTAAATTTCAGCATATGTCTCTGAACACCATAAATCGATCGGAATTGTATATCAGCTACAAATCGAGGCTTCGATATAAGAAGAAAATGGAAATTTTAATTTTTGGGATAAAATACCAATTTGGTCCAAATCGACCATTATTGTTGAGTTTTGGGTCTTGTTGAGTCTTTGGGTCCACCACCACGACCACCGCCGCCGCGGCCACCCTTGTCGCCGAAGCCGCCACGACCGCCACCACCACGTCCACCTTTTCCATTTTCAAAGCCACCAAATGACTTGCGATCACCAAACTTCTTAAAGCCACCATTAGCCGCCTTACCACCTTCTTCGCCACCATTTGTATTATCTTCGTCATTATTGAATCCACCTTTAACAAAGTTATTGTATTTGTTATCCTTCTTTTCGGCGTTACCATTGGTTTCACTGAATTTTCTCTTTTGTCCGGGTTTAGCTAGAGGAGTCGCAGCAGCGGCAGGTTTCTCTTCCTCTTCATCTTCGCTGGAGCTATCTTCATCACTATCCTCGGCTGCTTTCTTGGCAGGTGTAGCTGCCTTGGCTACATTAGCTTTTTTAGCTGGTGGTTCATCATCCGAATCATCGGAGTCTTCTGAACTCGATTCAGCTTTTTTGGCAACAGGTTTAGCTGCTGGCTTCTTTTCCTCTTCTTCTTCGGATGAAGATTCTTCGGAACTCGATTCAGCTTTCTTGGCAACAGGCTTGGCTGCTGGTTTAGCGGCTACAGCAGGCTTCTTAGCAGCTGGTTCTTCATCATCAGAAGAATCTTCAGAACTGCTACTTTCAGCCTTCTTTTTATTATACACCAAATTTCACTATAAGTTGCGGAACACAAGAAATCGATAGGAATTATATGTGGACTCTAAATTTTACCTTCAATATGGGATAAAAGAAAATAATTATTTTTTTGGGTTAAGTTTGAGTTTATCCCACTTGCCCCAAAATCTGGCGTTTCTGTTACGTTTATAGGGTTGGTACCGATGAAAAAAATATTCTACATCTAGTTCCACTATATGTCGCTGAACACAAGAAATCGGTTGGAATTATATATAGCCTTCAAATTTTATATTTCATATGGCAGAAAAAGAAAATAATTCTTTTTTGGCCTAAGTTTTGAGTTGTTCCCAATTATAGCCATAAATCGACCATTATTGTTAAGTTTAGGGGGTTGGTATCAATGGAGATAATATTCTACATAAAATTCCACAAAATATCTCTGAACACCAGAAATCGATCGGAGTTATATGTATCCTCCAAATCGTCTCTTGAATATGGCTAAAATGAGAATATAATTCTTTTAGGGTTAATTTCCCAATTTTTGGCAAAATCGACGATTATTATTAAGTTTAGAGGGTTGATATATATTTTCTATATATTCTACAGAAAATTTTACTATAGGCCTCCGAACACAAGAAATCGGTCGTAGTTATATATAACCTTCAAAAAGTATCTTCAATGCCAATAGAAAAAATATGTCAATTATTATTGGGTATATTTTAAGGTCTTACCAATGTGGAGTCAAAATCTACCATTATTATTAGGGTTAGGGGATTGATGTTAATGGAGAACATGTTCTTCATCGAATTTGATTATAGGTCTCCAAACACAATAAATCGGTAGTCATAATACATAACCTTCAATTTCAGTTTCAAAATGTATAGAAATACATTAAATTTTTTTTTTTTTTTTTTTTTTTTTTTGGCAAATTTTGCCATTTTTCTTACTAAAGTCAGAATGGACCATAATTATCAATTTTTGAGGCTTGTTACCAATGGAAAAAATATTTTTCATAAATTTTCACTATAGGTCACGGAACACAAGAAATCGGTAGAACTTATTTATAACCTCCAAAAGTTATCTCCAATCTTAGAACAAATAACAACATTATTTTTTTGGGTAATTTTTGAGTTTTTCCTGATTGGATATAAAAATCGACCATTATTCTTAAGTATAGGAGCATGTTATGAATGGAGAAAATATTCTGCAGAAAAGTTCACTATAGTTCACCGAACACAAGAAATCGATGAGAAGTAGATTTAACCTTCAAAATGTTTCTTTAATGTCAATAGAAAATTAAATTAATTGTTATTGGATATATTTAAGGTCTTCTCAAAGGGGAGCCAAAATCGACCATTATTATTTAATTTAGGAGATTGATGCTGATGGGAAAAATATTCTACATCGAATTTCAGTATAAGTCTCCGAACACGAGAAATTGATAAGTGCTACATTTATCCTTAAAATGTTAATTCGAAAATTACAATAAAAAATTAATTTTATTTCTTTGGTTTCATTTTTTAATTTCCAATACTTTTGGACCCCAACTCGTTTGGAACAACTATGCCATACTTTATAAATAACTAGAAACCAAAGTAGAAGAAGCAGTTTGATGATGTGCCATACAAGATGTTCATAAATAGACATCTTCTTTGCTTACAAAGTTTTTTTCTTTCTTCCACACAATCAAGAGGGAAGGCAGGCAGGCTGCCTACCAACCACCTAACCAGCAACCATGTCTACAAACATGATTGTATTTAAAAGAAGTTTGTACATCTTTCTTTTTTGTCGATGGAAAACTTTGAAGAAGCAGCAACTCAAACATAGAAGCCATCATCACAAAAAAAAAAACATTGTCCAGGAGAGGAAGAAAAAAAAACGTCTAACAATGTTTTCTATAGAAATAACAAAATTCCATAAATAGTTTTTTTCCTTCATTTCTAACTATCAGACATGGTTTCAAGTCTCAAGCAGGCTGGCAGACAGACAAACAAATGATGAAAAAATATCGAAAAAAACGAAATGTGTGGAAATTATGCATTGCATTCATGTTGATTACTGTTACATACAACGAAGTCAAGGAGAGAAGGGGGAGAAAAAATGTTGTCTTTTCTAATATTGCACAATATTGGGGTAATGATTCTGTGTATTTTTCAAAAAATAACATTTTTTTGTTATTTCTATCAAAAAAAGAAAGCTTTAGTATTATCAAATATTTTTTGTACAAAAGAAGATTCTTTTTTTCTTTCTTTTTTATACCCTAATAATAGTTCTCTTCATCATCGCCAGAATTGTTACTGTCCATAATAATAATCATAATCTTTCTTCTTTTCTTACCATACATTTTTATTAATGTACATTTAAGATTATAACAATTGTTCGAAAATTGTTAAGATAATTTTTGAACATTTAAGGAAGGTGGCTTTCTATTTGCCCTCTCCCCCCTCAAAAATAAGAAACATGAAGCTCGTTTAAGAAGTTTTCTAAAGGAAATTATTGAGTATTGTTGCGGGATAAGAAAGCAAGCTCAATTAGGCAACATTGTTTGTAAATGCAAAGATGAAAGAGCTGATATATTCTTTAAATTCTTTAAATTGAGCTGAGAAATAAATGAAAAATGTGGTCAATGAAAAGGTTTAGTTAAAGACTTAAGAAACAAACATGCAATTAATCAATAACAGTATTTGACGAAAGAGAACAATAATGAGAAATGCTTTTGAGAGAGAGAGAGAGAGAGAGAGAGCTTTGAAATGGCACATTTCAATGAAAGACTTAGGAAACGAACTTCTTAAGGTAATAACATCTGTGATAGATGTGAAGAGAGTGAGAGAGAGAGTAATATATCAATCTCAAATTGATTCAAACAAGCATGCAAATAATCAATAACGGCATAGTGTCAAAGAGAGCAAGATTAAGCAATGTTTTTGTAGGAGAGAGAAAAAACGTACATTAAAACAGTGTTGAACAGAATTAAATTAGGTGTACGTGTGAGAGAGCGTAATTGAGAGATAATCATCAAAAATGGCTGTCCAAAAGAGAAAATCAGAGAATATGAGTTTAGCCATCACCGCTATCGTACTATTCTTCTTAACTTCTTAAGGCAATATCTATTAAAGGGATAAGGAGAGAGGGAATAATATGTCAATCACAAACTCCAGTTAAATGCATTAAGCAATAACGAAGTGTGGTTAAAGAGAGCAAATGTGAGAAATGTTTTTCTATGTGTAAGAGAATTGTAATGAGACATATTCAAAAGACTTAGAAAACAAACTTCATATACCTTTTACAATTTCCCTATTCATATTAGTCAAATTTTTCTTTTGAAATAAGTTTGATGCTCCAATTGCTTAAAGATTGAAGAACAGTCTCATTCTCTCTCTCGCTTTCTCTCCCTCCCTTAATACCAGTTTGAAGCACAAATTGTTCTAATCAAAGACATTTTGAGCCTCAAATATGTTTGATTTTTTCAAACTTAGAAAATTGTCTCTTTAAAATTGCAACAAGTTCGTAGCTAATTTGCATTCGTAGCGTAACATTCCAGCACGTCTATAGAAATTTTGCAATCATTGACTTTTAAGAAAAGAATTCTAATTTAGATTTTTTGTTTTCATTCCACCTCACAATCTCATTAAATCTCTGGCCGATCAATCATTTAGCCATCTAATTTCAATTTGTTTAAGACATTGTTGCCATAACAGCAACACAAGCAACAACAAATATAGCATCATATCATCAAGCATACATTGGAAATCATGTCTGATTTTTTTGCAAAAAAAAAACTAAATATCTAACAACAAGTTTAAATTAGTTTAGTAGTTGAGCTTAAGAAAAAAAAAAATAAGAAGAAAACAAGAATGGAGGAAAACCGAGAAAATAGGAAAAAACTTCAGCAGAGAGACAGACAGGTTTGCTTGCCAGTCATGAAGATTGTCTTTTCGGTTTTTTTAGAAAACAAGTTAAAATGTTAAACTTTAAATTACCCTAACAATGCAGGAACAACAACAACAAAAACAGCAAACACTTTAACTCCTCTATGCAACATTGAGGTAAAGAGTTGCTCATACATTGTTGTAACATTAATGTTGGTTAGAAAAAGAGGAACAGCAACAATGCCAAACAACACATCGTTCAGTGTTGTTGTTGTTGCAATGTTTGAAAACATAGCCCGGGATGTTAAGACAATAACTGTTGTTTGACTCAAAACGACTCGAGTCGACTATCGTCGCTTGTTGTTGTTCGAGGAGTGCACAATTTGACAGTGCAAAACGACAGACAGACTTTCAGCCAACCAAACGACCGTTAGAACAAAAACAATAATGGCCAGTTCAACTAAATAATAATGGTAAAAAATCACAAGAGGAAGAAGAAGACACTGCAGCTGAAGGTGTCTCTTGACGAAGTCTCGCCTGGGCAATAGATTCACACATCTGTGCACATTCAATCGCATTGTCTTTGGTGTTGTGGTTTCATTCCCTTGATTTCAAGTGCTATAATTATTTTCAATATTTTTTAAATGTTTGTGTGTTTTTCAACGCCCCCAAAGCTGTCATTTTAGCCAACCTAATAGCCAAAAAAATGTGATGATTTAATTTTGGGTTTTTTTTTTTTTGGAACCAAAATAAATTTTTAAGGGCTTTTTTGAATTTTTGAATGGAATACATGCTCAATATTTTTTCCTTGGGTGTAATAAAGTTTTAAGGTTATCGTTATTGCTGTTGGGATTTTTTATATTTTGGAACTCAATCCTAAAATTTGGAATACAATTAACTGTGATTTAATTAATTGTATGGGCAGATTTGACAGTCAAACTTTTTTACATTGAAATGTTAGGCCTTACAACTTATTTGAATTGTTTAATTTGAGCCTCAAATTAATCTGTATCGACAAGTTTGAGCTCAATACTTGTGTGCTTGGTCAAGCTTGAACCTCTCACATATTTCATCGGGCCTTCAAATTATTAGCATAGACAAGTTTAACCTTCAAAGTTATCTGTACAGAAAAGTTTGAACCTCAAACTTGTTTGCATACAAAAACTTGAGCCTCAAACTTGTCTGTATAGAAAAGTTCGAACCTCAAACTTGTCCGTGTAGAAAAGTTTGAGCCTCAAACTTGTGCGCATAGAAAAGTTTGAGCCTCAAACTTATCGGTATACAAAAGCTTGAGCCTCAAACTTGTCTGCATAGTTAAGTTTGAGTATCAATGGCATCTCTATAGCAATGGTTGAGCCTCAAACTTGTAGGTATAGAAAAGTTTGAGCCTCAAACTTATCTGTATAAAAAAGTTTGAGCCTCAAACTTGTCGGTGTAGAACATTTTGAGTCTCAAACTTATCAGTGTAGACAATTTAGAGCCTCAAACTTATCTGTATAGAAAAGTTTGAGCCTCAAATTTGTTGGTAAAGAAAAAAATTTGGCCTCAAACTTGTCTCCGTAAAAAAGTTTGAACCTCAAACTTACTTTTATAGAAAAGTTTGAGCCTCTAACATATCTGTATAGTAAATATTGAACTTCAAACTTATCTGTATAAAAAAGTTTGAGCCTCAAACTTGTCGGTGTAGAACATTTTGAGCCTCAAACTTATCAGTGTAGACAATTTAGAGCCTCAAACTTATCTGTATAGAAAAGTTTGAGCCTCAAATTTGTTTGTAAAGAAAAATATTTGGGTCAAACTTGTCACCGTAAAAATGTTTGAGCCTCAAACTTACTTTTATAGAAAAGTTTGAGCCTCTAACATATCTGTATAGTAAATATTGAACTTCAAACTTTTCTCTATAGAAAAGTTTGAGCCTCAAACTT